TGCCCGGGTGAAGCTCAAGCAATTGCCGTTTTGCCTGACGTGGCCCTTTCGCTGAATAGCCTTTGGGTCAGCAGGTTGGGCCTTCCGAGCGAATCAAGGGGGTGAAGGATGCCAGGTGCGATCCGCCTGCGTGAGGATCAAGGGCCAAAACTTTTCTGGCTTACATTCAGCTTCGCCCATCCTCAGGTCCAATCTTCCTTGCAGACAATTTGCGAGAAGCTATGTCGGCCGCAATAAGAACATTTCGGATTCGATGCCGTCGCTTCATCCCAGCCCTTGGCCGCCCGGCTTGAAGGCCTCGGACTTTGGTACTGCCTACGACTTGAGACCACCCTGGCAAACAGAGTCTCTGCTGTCCTTTACCTCGACTCGGGTAAGCTTCACGCGAGTGATTTCAGCTCCGCCGCCTGCAGGGATAGCGCTTCGGATTCCAAGCTCCAGAGAGTGTGAACTTAGACAGCCCGCGCAGAGTTGATCCAACAAGCCCGAGTCTTCTTCCTCTGGTAGCTCCCTCCATGTTTTCCGCCTCCCCCACCGTCTAAACTGCAGCGGCGCATCCCCTTGACCCCACGCCAAGGCTGGTTAAAAGGCTGCGGTCAAGGCACTCTCGTGGCTTATCAGTGGCAGCCTGAGCAGGTTAGCAGCATAAGGACATCTCCTGCGTGTGTGCGAGCTCATCTTAGCCATCGAGGCATGCTGAACTGAGCAGGCTTTCAACCTACTGCGAAATCAAGGGAGCGACACATCGGCAAGCCGTCTTTTGTCCAACCGCTTGTCATCAATTTCAGCACGTTCCACATCGGCCTCCAAAGGAATTCTGTTAGAGAGAACGGCAACATTACTTGACAGGCCTCGCCAGCACAGCGGCAGAAAACACCTTCGGTGCTCACGTGACTCCCAGTTTCAGCCATGCTGAGATGCCTTGAGATGCCCTGAGCACTCGACTGTGAGATCCTGGTCTGTTTCTGGGTCGCTGTGACGCTTCCTGGCGCTTCTGCTCCCTGGCAACTCTCGTGAGTCTTCAAGAGGTATTGATGTCGGGCCACCGCGGTTCAGGAGTAAGACCTATCCCTTCCTACAGCAGTCTCATACCGCAGAACTCGACCGCACACTGAGCTCCTAGCGCACAGTAGTTGCGGCAGAAGTCAGTGCCCCCCGGACAAGCCTCCTGTCACGGTTCGTCAATGGCGACGGAGAGTCAATGGCAATGGAGATGGTAAAGAGTAGGGGGCATGTCAGTGCCAACACACTTGCAAGATCTTGCAAGTGCAAGCGACAAGCCAGGCACCTTCCATGGTCTGATGCACTTGCCTGCACCTGCAATACTTGGCGCACTGCTGCATAACTTCCGTAGGAGGTCCACCACATGCTCAACTTGCAAGCGAGCAAGCATCACCCTCGCACCAAACGAAGCCTGATCCAGTCACAAGACATAATTCGCACACAGCTGCTGGCTTCACAACATGAATGCAGTTCCGGTTCCGGCTGAACCTCGTGCTACATATCTGCCGGCCTGCTGCTTGCAAGCATCCCCGTTGATCACGGTTTTGGCCGAGAGCAGAATCCTTGACGCTTGAGTCTCAATTGTCTCCGTTGGATTGAGCGACAATGCAGCGACAAACGGCATGACATGGATCAGCCTCCCAGATTTGTCGAACGCTCTGCTGGACATCTGGCCTGCGAGCGCAACATCTCGTCTCTGGCCCACAACGGCTGCCATACTGGCTGTACGGCTTTGCTATTCTTTGTTGCGCCTTGCTGCTTATTCGAGCGACTGAATCTCACTGACTGCACCGCCTACTGAGGAATACGACGAGTTGGGAGGATCTACGAAGCCGGTGCTACTGTGCTTCGCAAAGGCAACACTGTCTTCTGAACAGAGCGACCGAGGTTCTCGCGGCTTTGCTGCTGTGAGCCAGCAGATCAAGCAGAACGCTGCCACAACCTTGCAGCGCGCAGCCGTGTCTACCACCAGAACGGCCACATTGAGAAGAACCACAACAGTAGCCGCAACATGCACCACTGCAAACAATGAACACGACACGATTGCCTTCGCAACCGCAATGCAAGACTGCAAGCAAGGTGGCACGACCAAAAGACGACGCTGCTCTCTGAAACCCAAACGAGCCAGAAGAACAAAACGAACTGTCAAAATTCAAGACGTTCCTACCATGTCCGCTCGACTACGCCCATCACTGATGTACATCACCAGCAACGTCGCCGAGCAAGACAGATACTGCACGCAGCCAAACAGAACGCCACAACTGAAACTCAACAGACATGTTGAAGGCACACAAACAAAATCCAGCACAAATGATCTGCAAGATATAGAAGCTTGGCGTCATGCCATGACGGCCAAAGTCGGGCCCCATAGGCCGAACGATGACTCTTGACCATACAGTTGCCTCGCCATTGAGAAAAACGAATCTTTGGACTGGCCGGGCAGGAAGAGTTGTTCAACAGGCCCCAACTTGAACTGATCCCATCACATTTCGAAAATGTGTCACGGTGCTGGCGAGCTGATATTTGCACAGGTTTTGGTATGTACTGTCCACGTATTGTCTATTGGGTTTGTCAGGGTCTCGGGGCGGCTTATGGATTTGGCTTGGTTTGCAAGCACCGCAAATAATGATAGATACGAAAATAGTTTCTGAAGTCTTACGATGATCGTCGCTCTACCATCTGCCACATGGGCTTACAGCCTCATAGCCGTCAGTTTGCACCGAGATGATTTATTGCTGCGGTGGTGATAATCAACAAATTGAACCTGTAACTGTAATGAGGCTTCAGAACCAGCTAAGTTGCAAGGGATTTTTCTATCGCAGCAACAATGACAATGACAGTGCACATCTGAGGCTAGCCTCGCGCGTCCCATCAGCACCTGCAACCGATGTTGGCAAGCATACCCCTTGGACCAAAAGACTTCTTTGCAGACATGCCTGGCACGGTCTTGCATGGAAATGCATGGAAAACAATGCACATAGTTCGCGGAGGGGAAGTGCTCTACCAGGCCTTCAAACAGCCGTATCGTCATTCCAACGTGTCGCTGAACGTGATGCGGCAGAATCCGATGCGTCTTGCTTGTTTTGAAGTGTTCCAGGTGTTCCAATTGTGTACTGAAGCATGTAGAGATGCTGCTGTGCACTCCTCGTTGGTCATCCGACCTTGAGTCTACATCTGCTTGTATCATGTCTCGGCAGAGCCAGATGCGAGCGAGGTGCAACGCTTCGTCTGCTCCAACACAACATGGCACACCGAAAGGATGATTTTGCGATTTGGATATTTGAGCATGAACTCCCCTCAGCAGACACTGTCGCAGCTCTTGCAGTCTTCGCCGAGTTGATGGACAAACGGCACACTTGGTGTCGCAGACTGCGCAGTCTTCACCAAGAGTTCGGACATGGCATTTTCGTTATCAGCTGTGCCTTCACCTCAAACGGGCTAGCACTAGAACCACTAGAACATGCTGGCCGGCTGGACTGGATGAAAGCCTCGTCACTGCAAGCATGCGAACTTCGATGCAAGCACGGCGGACCGCAACAAACTGCGCTCGTCCTCGTGTGACAATCCTCAGTCAACGTTTGCAATCTTCAGGGAGTTTCAGCGGGTGTGGGCAATGCATGTGCTGCACTGTGCATGCAGAATATGATAAATCATGGGTGTGAACTCAGTTCGTAACCCGTGCTCTGAGTTGCTGCTGATAGCTGTCTGGAAGCCTCATACCGCACCTTAGATGACTGAATGCTGTTTGTGGGGCTGGACATATCTTAGAGAGTGTTGCGCCGAGAGGCATTGGTGGGGATGGCAGTTGCTCTAGCAGCGGAACTGCCATCTCCATCCCTTCTGTAGAGAAATAGCGGTGCACCCTGGGTTGCCCAAGTCCTGAGCTTCCTCGAGGAGGCCGGTCTGCGGTCCAAGACAAAAACTCGCTGCTCGAAAACTAATGTCGAACTTGCCAAAGACTCAACGAATCCCAGTAGCGCCGAACAGTCCGCAACTTGTATCAGCCTTAGACTCTTTCAAGCTCTGCAGATCTTTCTTGCGACGGTGCCCATGCTATGAAATGCCAACAACCAACAAATTTCAGGAGGCATGATCGCATTCGTGCGAGCAAGAAGCTGCAGTCGGGCTTGGTGCAATGACTCCTGTGCATCATACCCGAGAATGCTTACTTGCGTGGATTCCCTTCGGGGGTTTGCACTCCGGGCAATCTGGGGGATTGAGATCAACCAATCGTTTCCGACATCTGCTCGATGTTGGCGATGTCTAGTCTTTGCAGGCTTCGGGTTTTGAGCTGCTGAGTTTGCAATTTGCAAGTTTATGGAGGCTTCGAAATCTGTTGGGGCCGAGAATGCGATGGAGTAGTTTGAATGACTTGGCTGGTGTTCACACTGCGGGGCGGTGGTGAATCAGCCCGCAATCTCCAACAGACTACATCGCCCAACCGACGACAATCCAAACTAACACTTTACGCTTGGGCCTATGTGCCTGAAGCCCCTTGGCAACCATTCTGCGCCGACCAGTTGTCCGTCAAAATCGCTATGCATGCATTGTTGGCAAAATCTTTGGCTAGAGCAAAGACATCGAAAAGATCGAGTACATTTTTCGATGTGCGGGAGAACTCTCCAACTGACATGCGGGCGTATTTAGCAAAAACGTCAAGGAGGCCGGTAAAACCAGTTCGTACATCAAGCCGGTTGTTGATGAGCATGACCTGCAAGTTCGCTCTATTAAGGCATGGAAACAACATGAAATCATCCGCCACGTTGAGTTCCTTTGAAGCTCCGCATGGCTGGACTTCATCGCGAGAGCTTTGGGGACATGCATGGATGTGTCGAAAACGCCTTGGATCTATCTCTCACTGAGCCGAGCTCCGGTATCCTCTGTTCTGCTTCGATGTGGTTCATACAAGTGTTCATACATTGCCAGCTAGCAACAAGGACAAACACTGTCCTTCTAGCCACACCTTGAATCTAGAATTCTAGAAGTTCTCTCGGAAGAGAAAGCGACTGAATCTGAACAACAGTTTTTGTCCGGAGAGTTGAACGGCAGGACCCGTGGATGACTATTGGCCTCTGGCCTCCGGCAAAGCTGCGCAGGTTACCAACGCTTCCAGCGCGGGAGCTCGTTGCGGATCGAGTGCCCCGGCAAAGGCTGCATTGAGATGACGTGGGAAGGCCGCGTTGCAAAGGTAGACCTTGCAGGCGTCCTGCAGAGTGCATGTGCATTTTCGAGCACACATTACACAAAGCAAAGTAGCTTGCAGCCCTGGCTGCGGCCGTGCTCTGGCCAGGTTCCCTGTAAGATCACTAAGGCACACTGGATGCACTTGTGAACCAGGCCGTAGTTTTCGATGTTGAAAGTCGATGCTCACACTTGTTGTTTAAGTTCAACGCAGGCCAAAATTAGGTGTCGTCAGAGCCTCCATGTTGACTGTTTCGCCTGTTTTCTTCCGCTGTGCAGCGGCAAGAACGTCCTCCAGGCGGCATGCCAACACATCTTCGCAGCGGAACTCACATATCCTTAGTTGGGAACTCTTTCGCCAAGCGCCCCCATGCTCTTCACTACTCGGGTGTGAAGACACTCCCTGCCTCTGTATGTCTTCAGGAGCGCAAGCTTTGGCAGCCAATGCCGCCTGGTGACATCCGAAATTCCCAGATTAATATCGACAAGTAAGTATCGCACCAAAACAAAAAAACCCTCGCAACACTCACCAAGGTCTGATCCGAATTTGGGGACTTCAAAAGCTGCAAGCAGCACATGTTGGCACCGTCTAGCCAAGAACCCAGACATGAACTCGGTCCGACTATGGAAAGCCATGATAAAGGCCTCATACTGCCCACACGGTCCAGACTTCTCAACTTTGGGCTTCCTAATTTTCTCCTACGCAGCAAAAGAACCCAAGCTCTGCGACCACGCCAGCACTATTGGCAGTGGCATCGGTGGGTATATACACATGCAGCCACATGCATTATGTGCATTCAGAGAAAGTCACGAATGACAAGGACACTTTACAAGGGAACAAAAGCATGAAACACACTCGGTGCACAAGGAGGCCGGATTGCGCTCAGCACGGAGCCGGCCACCGGCTTTTGGAACACGGAATGGCCACCGTCAGAGGTAGCTGCAGCAAAATGCTTTTGTCGCTTTTAGCTACTCTCACGAGCCGCAGCTTGTTCCGTCCTTTCGCAAAGGAGTCCAACCAGTGTGAGCACAGGGACGCATGCGCCCGCGACTGCGTGCTACAACAAACGTGCCAAGCTCAACTGTCAGGATAATGTGAAACGGTCGCCTCCCGCAGGCAGCACAAGGTAAACTGTGGCAGTGCGGCTTTCTCGCTCTTACGCACCGTGAGCCACAGCACTCTGCTCAGGCATTGACCCTGTATACTGAACAGTAGAAGAGCTCCGTCGGCACGGTCGTTTGCGTAGACAAGGCCCCGTTTCCCGTTGCGTTGAATTTAAGAAAGCATAGTAGTATGCATGCTCGGAGGGTCGGCGAAAAACGTCGCACCTGGCCACTGCAAAGAAGCTCCGTCAGCACGCCCCATGCAAGCAACCCAGAATGGCAAGGGGGCTTCAGCAGGTCATTGGGAGTGAAAGCGTATGTCCTGCCTTCAATCGACCCTGCGGGAACCCCGACAGCCTCATCAAGCAGTTTGGACAGGTTGGACATCTTCAAGAACAGAGCTTCGTGTTTCCCCATGGGGGCCGACGACTCGCTACAAAGTGGCAATCCGGTCCAGTGGCCTCAGTAACGTTGATGTCAGCCTGTTGCAGCCGTGTGAAAGAAACATAGGCTTTCCACTGCAGTGGGTTACTACAGAGTCTTTGGCATATCACGCAGCTATATGGGGCCTGCACCAGCAACCAAATCAAAATCAGTGTTTGAAACCGCGGTGCGACTAAGGGGCCGAAATGGGCCGAATACCGGCTTCTCTGAGAAAAGTATACCATGAAAGCCGCTGCGTGCCTCATGTTCATCCAAATGCAATTGTCAAGAACGTCATGCAGCACCGGCCCTGGCACGGAACTACAACCCACCCCAAAGTTTGAGCCGCTCGTGTCGCTTCATGTCCTGCTATACCGACTTGCCACCGATCTGGCGACTTTCCCAAAACGCTGACTCGTTCCCCCACATCTTCCAGTTCCAGGTAGCCCAGGTTTCGTCAACACGTATGTCAACTTGAGAAGATGGCCACGAAAGCGAGTCGATAGAGCTAGGGCATTTCTGCGTGCATGCCCGGCAGCATGGACGCAAGCAGATATGTTCTGTGTTGCCATGAAGCTTGAAACCTGCAAGATGATACTGGTAGCATTCTTCTGCATTATATTCACTACACTGGCTCACATGTCGTTCTGCCCTGACCGGAACGTTCCTGTATAAGCAATAACTCGGCCATCTACGAGCAGCTTCGAACTGTCTTGGTAGTAGCTTAGTAGCTAATGACTGAGGTATCAGGCTTGATCCTGTGCCACGAAGACCCACAAGACAAGATGCAAGTTGCCAGCCATGTTGCTTAAACAGATGGACCTTAAGCGGGGGTGAGGGGGAGAACCGGACTCCTGACTTTGTACAATACCCCACCTTGCTGCCTCTGAATCGATCATTTGCATGGTGTGGCGGGCCCCCCCCCTTCCGCCCACCTTTGTCTGTTGTGAAAGGATCAGACAAGGTCTTGGCCACGATTTTGACATGAGTCTCTACTACGTAGTACCTACTACTTTTATAGGTGTCTTGGTAAAAGACCACTGCGGCAAGCTCCACAGAGCTAGCCTTCGTCACCTATGGCTCTCATCTCACTGTCGAGGGCCAGGTTTTGGATGTTCTGGGACCCTTCGAGCATTGAGAAAGACTGCTGGGGCGCTTTGACGGATTTGGGTTGCTGAGCGCGGGCTTGATTCGGCTTTGTTGGGCTTGCATGGTTCGGTGCTGGTAATCAGCTCCGGGCATTTGCCAAGATACTCTGACATGTCTGAGCGACAGCAAGCGCTGACTGTTCGACTAGGGGTCTGTCTGCATCCGGAAAGCAACGCATGATATTCCAAGGGTCAGCAGGAACTTCGAACTATGAATTTTTCCACTGAAGCCACAGCAACACTGCTGCAGTGGGACTGGAACGAACTAGCTTCCCCTGGCTGGCCTCTACAAGTACATCGCACGAAACCTAAAGGGAGAGTCGCGAGAATGTAAATGTACCAAAAGCGCAGGGAAACGATGAGTCAACAAAATGTTTCAATCGACCGTGCCGCCTGGTGCCGTGGCTCCATGAGCTCGATGCCAACGCATTTTGTCGGCTTCGAACAGAGGGCCGCTGCAAGCACCACCTTCACAGGCAGTACACTTTGCTGCACAGGACTACCCCCGCGGCGGCATTCGCGCGGTTTTGAGCGGACCTGCCCTCTACCACTGCCCAAATCGTAGAAGATGTCGCCCTGTCAGGAGGACGGGTTGCAGCGCATTGGGACAGCACGATCATGTAAGTGGCTAAGATTGACTAAGCGACAAAGCGACCATAATCTCCTAACTTCAGATGACTGGGAATGCGAGAACCAACGCCTTTCAGGCCCAAAGTGTCTCAGGACACCTGCATCTGAATCAAAAAAGGTCAGCGTGTTGAAGAAGTTAAATTTGGAACCCGTGAACTATTTCAATCGGAGAATTTGCAAAGCAACCAAGCTCGCGCAAGCTGCTCTTCGCTACAAGTGGAGCATTCTAGACTTAGAGTACTAGTATGTACTAGTGACATCGCCGGAGCTGCTACTGCATACGAAGCTGTCATCAAGCGTGCGTCCTGCTCCAAGTTTAGCAGGCGAAAGATGTCCTCAGGTGTCAGAATCTCTCCGAAGACCAGTGCTGACGCAACAGCGCCAGCTTTCACCTGGCGGGAGAGCTCTTCGAAAATCACAAGCAGAAGTATGAGCCAAGATTGCCAAGGCCAAGGCACTGCATCGGAAGCACCCTCGCATGCAAGTTTTGACAATCCCGTCGGATCTGTCTTGCAGCCAGCATCCTCAAAGAACACATTCACGCGCTCGAGCAGGCTCTGCGACATGGCTCCGGCTTGGGGGCCATGTGCCTAAACCACTGGCATGTGAAGGATGATTGAGATATATTGAGATGTATTGAAGTCAGTGTGAGACCTGAAGAGTGTCCTCCTCCCATAGCTGGAACTTCCAGATTTGCATTGGAGCTGAGCCACACCAGCTGGCAAATGGATTTGAGGCAATTCGACATCTGAAGTACACGAGTTGATATGCTGTTGCAGCGGTTGGGTGAACATTTTGTACGATCACGAGGGAAGCTGGGTGTTCCAGCCTCCAGGATCCCGGCATCAGTATGTACAAAGCGCGCGTCAACCAAACACCTGCATCTTCATGCTCCCCAAACTTGTGGCGGACATGTCATACAGCACAACGTAAAGTTTCACGAGTCGCAGCATTAACGATATTCCCGGATGTCATCTTCGACGAAAGTAGATGTTAAGTTTGAAGATCGACGAACTCCCAGCCCGCAGGCAGCCACTTTTGATCTGCAAGATTCGCTGGCCGGTGAATCATGGTGAATCTATGAGCTGTTCTGGGTCACATGCAATATAACATCCGCGATTCGAAGACATGCACCAGCATCGAAATCGCGTGGTCGCAAGACAGTCATACGCTTCAAAAACGCACTTCGACTCGAACGGTACTGGCCTTGGTCCGCGCACGCTATGCTTCCGGCGATGTAGCGCCAAGCACCTGCCCGAAGAATTGAAGAACTCTTCAGCATAGAGTCAGCTTATCAACACTTTGCAGATCTCGTGGCCAGCCTGGGGCGACAGACTTGGCCCCGTCTGGCCCTCTCTTGCCAAAGGTGCAGTCTCCTCCTGAGTGGGCTTGTCGGCCTCTGCGCGGACATTGAAAGTTCGGATGTCAATACTGAAGGTTGTGTAGACCAGCCTTGCGTGAACGGTGCCATCGCAGCAAACATCTGCTCAGCAAAACTGTTGCCGAGCTCACAAGCCTCATCCGCTGCTGGTTTCACTGGTCTGATCAACGAACAAACCATAACAAACCTGATTGTCGGATTCCGCCGTGAAGCAGATGACCCGCAAGGCGCGTACTTGCCATGCCCGTTTTGCTCTCCAGTGCTTGTCATGTTCACATTCCCCAACTTTACCGCGTGCACTTTGTCACCGTCCGTGTGCTGGCTATCATGCACCGATGTTCCGCACAGTAAAAGCAAGTTGATGTCAAGTTATCCCGCCCTCGAGAGCCTCAATGGTGGAACGTTTCCGTCGTTTGGTGCTGTCGCCCTCAGCATGTGTGGTCTGATAGTGGATAGGAAGGCCGGCAGGTGAGCTGCTGCTTCTCAAACAACTCCATCTTAGCTACACTTTAGACATGAAGCTGCAGCCAGTCCACGCGCACACGAGAAGAAAACGACACGACGACATGGCACCTGGGCACTAGGTTTGCCACGTCGATTCATTCGGGACCCCCGCCCAATTCGTGCAGCAACGAACTGTTCTGAATCACACGGCAGTTTTATGTTGGATCAAGAGCCAATAAAGCTGCTTTTGGAAGTTGTCCGAAGATATCTGGATGCGCCGGTGTAGTGACTCGGGTGAAGGCCATGCGGCGATCTCAGTGCGACACTTCTCTCCACCTTGAAACAAGCGGCTTGAAATGCAAGACCGAGCATGGCAAGTCAAGCTATCTCCGAGAGCAAGGCAGTCGCAACCGGCCAGGCCTGCATCCTCCAGAAAGCGATCAAACGCAGAATCTCGTCATCACAACCATCAGACACAAGAAGAACACTCTCAAGGCATCAACAAGCGGATGGTCATCATATCAGTAACATCGTCACGAAAACCATGCTGATGAATGATAACTCAATGATAAACATTCGAAACCCCGTGCTTCTCCTATCAGTTCCACGAATGTCATTAGCATCAGGCTCGCAGTTGTGAAGGGAGTCAGCATCAGCACGCATCATGCCAGAGGAAAGCGTCAATGACATGAGGGTTTGGAGTCAGATTGCAGGAAAACGTTGCCGCAATCCAATGTACTTTGGGCCGCCCATCTCCACAACATCGACATCCCTGGCGGGGGCATCTGCCAGGAGTCCGTGACCGCAAGCATTGTCGGCACTTGTTGGGTCCGGATGACTCAGAGAGTCTCAGGCTGCGTTGGGAATCTACGAAGGAAGACCGACCATCAACACTCAGGTTGGCCTCCTCGCAGGCCCCACCCGAACCAGTGACGAGGACGTCGCTCAACCGTCGATCCATCCATGCAGCCATTATCAGCCATTCATCCACCCATACATTACTCAACAGCCATGCCACGAGAACCCCTCAGGTTCCCACGTGGCAGAGCCCCGCTTCCAGAGGCGGAAGTACGTGGGACAGTGGCGGGAAGAGGATGCTAATCCCAATCTGTGGAACATTGTGCAATATTGTGGAGCCACGATATGGAGCGTCGCCAACTTCCGCTGCCCCTGAGAACGTCCGGATGTCGAGAGCACTTGGGAGATGCAGGACACCAACCGAAATCAGTCATCCAGTCACCCTGGACGTAAGAACTCCTGTCTGTCATTAGCCGGTTTGACGAATACACGAGCTTCAGGCCGGCTTTCGGGTGTGCAGCTGCTTCTTGATTCCATGAAGTCCTGAAGAAGGGCTTTATCTGGATCAGGAGCTTGGCTGATGCTATGGCGGTGGTCATCATCAGAACCAGATTACCGATCCGCCAGGATCCGCCCATTCTTTTCAGTTTTCGCTGGCCAGCGGATGTGGGCGTTGGCGTGACTGATCAAGGAATCAAAGACTAAACGTGCGGAGTGCATGCTTTGATATGCTTTGTGCGTTGCTGGGTGTTTCTCGTAGCCCTCTGCATCAAGTGCGGTAAGACACCACAAGGACACAACTCCACACAAGTACAGGAAGTCGCTCGGTCAAGTCATGTCCGGCTGCGGAACCTGAAGCCTTCCTTACCGGTGCCCTGCCAAGCCACGGTCCTGCGACTCGTCTGTCTCCCACAAATGACAGTTGCCTGCACGGACCTCGGCCACTGTGGCATTATGATCATTATGTCGCTACAGGTAGAGTAGTAATAGTACAGACAGGAAGGTGCAGTGCATCACTATGGCCGCAAGATGCTGCAAAGACATATATCAGCCCACCAAAGCGAAGCAGAAAGATGGTTGACTAGGGATGATAGATTGTCTGACATTACCATAAAAATGAGTCTGGTATGGCTGACACTGACGAGATGCTGAAAAAGCCGGAGCAGCAAGCCTGCTGCACGTGACCGAAAGAAGCTGCTGACACGGGCGCCGAAGTTGAACTTTGCACACTGATATGGCTCAATGGCGCACACAAAGCCAACCGCGGTCAAACGGAAGGATGAGGATGCGCCTGTGCGACATTCAAGATCTGCCGAGTCCGAGACGGGGAGGCAATGAATGATCTGTTAGCAGAGCGGTTTGGTAGTACGGTATTGGAAGTGACGCCCAAGCCGGACGAGTCGACCACGACGGCGTGGCGGGCGGTTTTGGGCCAAGACAATGCCCAATGTACCGACGGCGGAGACAGAGTAGCACTGTCGAAGCTTGGAAACCATACCCTCCGAAAGCTCAGCCCAAACTAAATCATCGACGATGCCAGTTCGTCGATAACTGACCCGAGCCCTTCTGAGTGAAACAGAGCTGGTCAATGTCGCCGAAACTTGTTTTTTTGCAAACCTGTCACATGCTGACCCAAAATGCACGGCACTGCGTTGGCCAAGTTCGCATTCGAACGTCGTAATTAGTAATCTGCGTATCTGAGAAGCTTTTCTCAGAGGGGCGTGTGCAAAACAAGCGTTACGCCGACGGCCGACGATGCTAACGACGTGTCTGCCAAAAGCTACAGGCAGCGGGAAGCAGCGGCCGCCTTGCAAAACCGGGGTCGGTGCCAGGGTGCTCAGGTTACCGCCCGGTTGGGCGGTGCCGCCCGTTTCGTCTTTAAAGTCGGGACCACGCAAATGGCGCGGAGTGCGTTACGAAACGAAATGCACCACCGAGTCTTAAGTGCAGTCCCGCGGCAGCTGCCGGAGCACCGCGGCGAGTGTTCGGGGATTTCGGGGAGGGAGCTCAAGACGAACAATCCGTCATCCACCGTCCGCTGCTTCAACTCGAACAGGACAAAAGGGCACCGGCTCCCGTCAGAAGCAACAAAGCCAGACCTAATTTCCGGAGTGCCAGTAATGGCCAAACCCGCGATCGAAGAGGATTCGACTATAGCAACTAAGGACAAACCTAGATTGTGCACTCGGCGACTCACCAGATCCAACACACAGCCACCCCTTCCCGAGTTCTGTGCGTCTCTGCCGCAATCTCTCTCTCTCTCTGTCTCTCTTGCTTGCTTGCTTGCTTGCTGGACGTTTGGGGTCGAGGGGTGCCCCCCGTACCCCCGCGCGCAAGCGCAACGCCAGTGTCCGCATCTGGTCGACTGAGTGAAGCACAGCCCTCCCCAACACTCACACCTGCTTTGCTTTCCCGCACCCGCCTCGTAGGCCTTGTCGGGCTCTGTGTGAGTGTCGGGGTTGACTCTCGGGATCCCCGCTTTCGGGGTACTGTTACACCGTTGTCCCTGACGACGTGGGCCCCTGTCCACTATCGAGATGCATGACAACACACACTAAACCTGCTTTGACCCGGACAACGGCTTCAGGCACCTATGCTCTGCAGCTGTACGGTTTGTGGATGTTTGCCTGTGGTCAGTGCGGTCCCCTGAGGTTGGAAGCAGAGGGCAGGGTTCAAGAAGTTAGGGGAACATCACACACGCTAGGGTCCCACACTGTGTGGTGGTGGTGCTGTGGCGCAGAAGCAGGGTCCCGGGGTGGGAAACAGCAAGGGGCGGGTACCGGTGCATTAAGGGAGAACATCACACACTAGGGCCCCCGCTTTCTGCTTTGTGGCGTGCGTCGTGGTGGATGTTTGTGTCCTCTAACTGTAGTACTCCCTACTTGGCTGCACGCGGTAAGTCATGACTCATGCCGTATCATACAGGTGCCCCCCTACTTGCTACACTCAGCACAACAGACTTCAAGGCATTCAGTCATGAAATAGGGCATGCATGCGTCGACGCCTGTGCGTCGCGCCGAAGGGGTTCGAGTCATTCCTCGACGTCCCCGGCTCCTGTGCTCCCCGAAAGGGTCCCCGTTGTCGCCGCTGAAGTCCCCGCTGCCGCTGGTGTCGCTTCTTTTGCTGCACGGCTGCGCCCATGGCTTCGTCGTCTGCGTCTGAGGGCCCACATTTCGTCCTCCGTCTCCTTGCCGGGGTCCTCGTCATCGATCTGTGGCCCCGCTTCTGCTTCTCTGGCTCCGGCTGGTCGTTGGCGGTGCCGTCCCCGTTTCTGGCTCTGGTTCGGTAGCCGTTCGTTCCGAGTCCACCAGCTGTATGGGGTAGCCCCATATGCCTGTGCTCCACTCGTGGAGCTTGTTAACCGCCTCCGCAGCAATCGGGACTTGATCCCCGACCAGTGTTGGCAGGAGTTGCTGTAGGAGTTGTGTGGCTCGGAGTACGAGGTAGGCGTTGGGATGCGCGCTGGCTGCCACAGGCGGTGTCCCCGGTCTTCTGTTGCTGCTGCTGGCCGGGTGGCTGCTGCTATGCGTTGGTGCCTCCGGCGGGGCAGTCGTGGTTTTTTGGCAGGAGGCGACCGGGCATCTGTCTGCATTACTGTTGTGGCCTCGCTGGCCTTGTCCCCTTCTGTTGCCGCTGCTGTGGCTGCTGGCTCCTCCTCGTCAGCTAGGCAGGGGTTGTTGCTCGTTGCCCAGTGGACCAGGTGCCCTTGCCCAGCCTCCACGAGCATGGCAACTTCCAGCATGGCCTGTTGGGTCTGCGTACTGGGAGGGGCAAGAAGGTCTGCAGCTGCTGCGGGTGGGGCTCCATGCGTTTGTGGCTTGCTCGTGGTGGCGGTGGCTATGCGGTTCGGCCCCGCCATCCTCCTTGCATGTGTCTGCTGGCGCACTACTGTCCCCGGCATGGCCGGGTGGAGTCATGGTCCCTCCTCCTTTCTTCGTCATCACTGGGCCACGCTCTTTCGGTTTGGTCCCCTGAGGCCGCGCTTGGTGGGAGCGGGGGAGGTGCTTTGAGTGGCGGTGGGAGTGGTGGTGGTGGTTCCTTGACGGGGGGTGCTGCCTTGCTCCCCGTGCTTCGGTGCCTCCTGGGTGGGGCGCGGCCCAGGTGAAGGCTTTGTGGGGTGTCAACGACTGTGTCCCCTTGTCCCAGTACATGGTGGACGGGTGGGACTTCTTGGTCGTCCTGTAGTTGAAGGACGCCTCTGCTGTCGATGTCCCCGCGCGACCTCTCCTCCAGGGACCACTCATCGTCGTCCCACACTATCAAGAAGGATTCCCCGGAGCGCATCTCTACAACGTCCGGGTCCTGCGGTATCCCCGGCTGTGCGGTTGGCGCCGACCGCACTTCGACTAGCCAGGCTTTTGGAACTAGAGACGTGGTGAGCCCCCAGCGTTGTCTGCTAGCCCCGGCTTGCGTGCCCAGCGGAGTGAGAGTCATGCACGCTCCGACTGGCATGTACTGTGGTGGACGTGTTGCGTCGGGCTGGAAGAGCACCTGTGGGTAGACGGTTTGGGCGAGGGTCGGTGTGGGGGGTCGCTGGCAGCACTCTGAGGCCCCGTTTCCCTCCTCCTATGTAGATGCACAGCAGCTGCGAGTAGGTGGGCAGGGGGAGCGACGGCGGTAGGACTGGTG